CAAACCCCGACGGTCGCCTTCGAAGGAGAGAGTTGGTGCCTTCGTGGGTCTTCGAGGACGTTCAACGTCGTCTCCGAGCAAGTCGGACCAACGGCGGCGGAATCGGCCTGTTCGTCGAAGTCCGCTTGTGCTTGTTGACCTGATGCTTCAACCGTTGGATGGGTGGCCGGATCCACCCAAAAACGACCGAGGCGTCTGAAAACGAGGCATCTCAAGTTGGGCACACGGGCAATACCACGCCCGGGTCAACACACCATCCACGACAGATTGGATGAATGAAAAGCCATGGGAAGCGTCATGTGGAGCTTTGGTTGTGCAACACAGATAGGGAGACCAGTGAAAAGGACCCCGGTCGTGCATAGTGGCCATTGCCTCAGAACACTGAACTGTCATATGCTTGGCTGTTCATCAGTCGAAGGGTTTTGCCGCAAGTGGTTTAGTAAGAAACCCACTTCTAAGGCAAAAGGACTGCTTTTTCATGCTTTTTCCATGAGTTCTGTATGGTTCTGTTGTTCTGCTTGATGCGTTGCCTGTCCCCGAAAGTTTCAGGGCAGCGGACTTCACGTTCCGCGAAGGCTTCAAGAGGCTACAAGAGGCTACAAGTAAAGTCTAGTTCTCTCATTCGGAGACTTCAGCATTAGCACAATCAAACTAAGAATCTTAAGAACATGAAAAGAAAGGATCCAGTCACAAAATTATGTGCACTGGCATCATGTTGACGCCTAGGGGCACACCATGCGTGACTCCACCTCACTAGTGCACAGCATTATTGCCAGCCTTGTCGAGAGGTGTGCCATCAACAAGATATCCGATGTCTGCAGCATAGGCTGAGGGTGGCAATGGCGATCCGGGAGAATGAGGATCAGGTCCCATGGTCTCAGGATGGTTAATGGCATTGCCGGCCGCATTCATCGGTGTGCCATCAGGCAAGTAGCCCACGTCATTCACGAAAAGGGCGCGAGGCAGTGGGGATCCAGGAGCATGAGGATCAGGACCGATGCTCTCAGGGTGGTTCATGCAATTCCCGGCCAAGTTCATTGGAGTTCCGTCTGGCAAGTAGCCCACATCATTGCCAAAGGTCAGGTCCACATAGGCGTCCTTCTGGACGGAGTAGAGGAATCCAGCAGGCTTGCGCAACGTGGTGCTTGTCTGAGTGGAGGATCCCACGAATGCTGCTGCCACTGGCTGAGGGGCTGCCTGGGGCGCTGCAGCTGGTGGAGCTGCTGCTGCTGGGGCGGATGCAGCAACACCCCTGACGGAATTGTTGCCTGCTGTCACCAAATCTGTGCCATCCACCAGGTAGCCCACATCAGCCGAGTACACTGAAGCTGGCAAAGGCGAGCCAGGAGCATGCATGTCTGGCTGCATGGTCTCGGGGTGGTTCAGGCAATTGCCAGCTGCATTCATGGGCGTTCCATCGACGAGGTAGCCAATTGAGTTGTGCAAGTTGGCCCTTGGCAACGGCGAACCAGGAGCATGGGAGTCAGCCTGGATGTTCTCCGGATGGTTGATGCAATTGCCAGCCATGTT